CGCTGTAGGCCAGCCGATGAAAGGGACACAGTCGAATATTGTCAGTTGTGGGAAAGCAGTGAGTGCGAATTTAGATACCCAGATAAGCGAGCCTGTATGTGCATTAGCTGTTGTCCGGTCTGTGTTTCATCCCTAAACTGTAACTCTCGACCCCAGTCTTTCAGGCAAGAATTATACGCACCCAGCCACCCGGATTTATCGCAAAAATCAAATTATACAAAGCAATGCAACTATTTGTAAGTGGTGTTTTGCTGCTCAGATCAACTGTCACTTCGCTGTAGTGCGCGTCTCATCAGTAGCTGCCTTCTTCGTGGATGCTACCATCGACCACTGTATCAGCTCCTAGAGCTGCTAATACTACTTCTGCTGCTGCTACTACTACAACTACTACTACTGCTGCTAATGCTCCTGTTACTACTACTACTACTGCAGTTGCTACTACTTCTGCTGCTGCTACTGCCACTGCTTTTGCTACTGCTGCTGCTGCTACTGTTCCTACCGCTACTGTTGCTGCCCCTGCTCCTGCTGCTGCTGCTCCTGCTGCTGCTGCTGCCGCTGCTGCTGCTGCCGCTGCTGCTGCAACTGCTACTGCTCCTGCTGCTGCCACTACTGCTGTTGCCGCTGCTGCTCCTGCTACTGCTACCACTGCTGCTACTACTGCTGCTGTTGCCGCTGCTGCTACTCCTGCTACTGCCGCCACTGCTGTTGCTGCTGCTGCCCTTGCTGCTGCTACTACTACTGCTCCTGCTGCTGCTACTGCTGCCGTTCCTACTGCTGCTTTTGCTGCTTCTCCTCCTGCTGCTGCTGTAGTTGCTGCTGCTACTGCTGCTGCTGTTTTTGTAGTCGTTGTTGTTGTTATTGTTGTAGTCGTTGTTGTTATTGTAGTCATCGTTGTAGCCGTTGTTGTTGTCATTGTTGTCGTCGTAGTCATTATTGTTGTTGTAGTCGTTGTTGTCGTTATCGTTGTCACTGCTGTTGTCGTTATCGTTATCGTCGCTATCGCTGTCATTGTCGTTATTGTTGTTGTCGTCGTCGTCGTTATTCCCTCTTTCTTCCACTTGCCCTCTTGTAACAAATACTGGGCAAGTCGTGTCGCCAGTAATACGCTCAGGAAACCTTTTTTTTTTGGAAAAAAGAATTCTCTACCAATGACGAAATAATGCAAGCGCTTATTTTTGCAAACGACATTATGCTCATCGCGGAAAACAAAAAAACACAAAAATCACCAACATGAAAAAAACCGGACCCGAAATCGGTGAGAGAAAATCGAATGGGTTGTGCCTGGGAAAGGCTCAAACCAGAGAAGAAGAATGGAGAAGTTGCCAACTGCATCAATGGCGAGAAGAAACGCGACAATGAGAGAGTAAGAAAGCTTTCTCCGGGCAACCCAACTTGAAAGCAGCGTATGTGCCCCACTGGATCAGCTTCGTTGGCACTCAATTTTCCAGTTTAAATCACTTCGAGATGTCACCCAAAATCTCTCACAGTAACAGCAGACCCACCTCCCCTGTAAGCACCCAGCTCACCTTCAAAATAGAAAATAATCACCAGTCACCCCCTTCCCCCACCACTTCCCCCGCCCTAATTCAAAGCGAACCCTCCCCACCTTCAAAACTTTATCCCCAAGTAACTACTAAAACTCGTCCCGGCTTGGCCAGCGCCATACACAACTTGCGAATGATTTTTATGCGTTTTTTGCAGCTATGCAATGCAGAAAACTTATATTGACGAGAGGGTGTGTGTGTGTGCGCGTGTGTGTGAGTGTGTGTGCGTTTGTACCGATTTTTATGCGTTTTTGCTGTGCAGCGCTATAGCAGCTACAGCCAGCAAAAACGCATATTGTCGA